CCTCGCACACCCCCAAAAAAAAAAAAAAAAAAAAAAAAAGCCAAAAGATGGCCTCTTCTTTTTCTGGCTTTGTTATATCTTAAGTTCTGGCTTGAAAAAGACACAAGCAACCTTCTTGGCTATAAGAATGAACTACTTTACCTACCTGGATTGGAGTCCTTCTTTAAGGTCCAACCCAAACATTTTCCATTTAGCCTTTCATGATTAATTTGACTTCCCCCTGGACTGTGATTCTTCCCTTTTGGTGCTCTAGGACTCAACTATACAGCTTCCAGGACCTTATCGGGCTGTAAACTCTATATGAATAAAGACTAGGCACATGCAGTCAAATAATAGAACCATTTAAAAGCTCAGTATATACACAGGATCTTGCACTGCTACCTAACCCAGCATTTGACTCCCTCAAGCCTTGGCTCTTTTGTTTGTGATTTGATCACCTAGGAAACAGAGCTGTAGCTGGATGTGATGGCACATGCATATAACCTAGCTATTTGTGAAGCTGAAGCAGGATGATCATAAATTTGAAGCCAGCCTTGGTGACTTAGTGAGACCCTGTCTTAAAGTGGTTTGGAAATACAGCTCATTGGTACAGCACTCACTTAGCACATGCAAGGCCCTGAATTTAATTCCCAGTACTACAAAACAAAATAAAAAGCCTGAGGCAAAGCTTGTATGCTAGGATTTAACTGGGAAGTATGAACCCAGGCAAAGAGTAAGGAGAGACACAAAGTAAAAAGAAGTGAAAATATAAGACAGTGTATTACTAAGTTGGCCAGAGTTTCAAAGAGAACACAGCTAGTTGCTCTGTCATACAAATTAATTCTAGATGAGCAATGGATAACAATCACATCTCAGGGATAAAGGAAAGCTGTGTTACCCTACCATTCCAGTAGCCATGGAGGGTGCCAGATTCCACACTCGGTAGCACAGTGGGTCATCTGAGACTAGAAAAGGTGGAAGAAGTCAGAGGCTCTAGCTTGGTGAAGTTGGGCCCTCTGCAGTCCTCCACAGTGGGCACATTGGAGGCTCTGTCAAAAACCTAACCCTCATCCTGGAGGAGGCTAAAATAACCAGATGAGGTGATAGTAGTAACAGCTGGGCTATCCAGTAAGCAGTGGCCAAGACCCTGGCCCACAGTATAGATGGGCAAGCATATTTAGGGTGGCAGGTGAACTAAGGCCAGTGCACAGACTCAGATGCACCCTAGATAGCCTTCTGACTTCCAGACTAAGCAACTGACTAAAGTGAACCCTGAGAGTAAGAACCAAAGTCCAAACTGATTCAACTACCCTTCAAGCCACCAGGAAAAATAGCAAGGTAGACATCAAAGCTGGGACCTTAAGCAGCAAATGAAGAGCAGTGAACACAGGACCCAAGGACAGTGCCTGGTAGCCCCCATCATGGCACAGTTGGGAGAACCCAGACATTATGAAATCATTTTAATTGAGGAACTAGGAAAACTGCTACTGTTAGCATAGTTCCTATAAGCTACATAAGATGAGATGGTGCAGTTACGAGGGGTGTAGGCCTGGAGAGAGACTGTTTGGGTTTGAGTCCTGGCTCTGTATGTGATCTTAGGCAAGTCACATGCCTCTCTGAGGTTCAGTTTCTTCATCTTTGGAGTGGAGATAACACTCGTACCCACCTGTTATTAGAATTAAATACACAAGTGTTTAGCACAGAACCTGGCAGTGTTCAGTAAATAGTGACTGTTATTACTACTATATACTCTTCCCCACCCCTGTTTCTAACTCCTGTCCACACCATGAGCACATGCCACTGTCTTCCTCCAACCTCAGCAGTCTTCTGCTGCTTAAAGAGCAGTGGGGGTTGAACTTGGTCATGCCTTCTTCTCCCTGCTCTCCCCAGAGCTGTTCCCCATGAGCCTTAGCCATTCATCTCCTTGGTGACCTGAATCTGAACTAAGAGACAGATGTAGGGTGGCTAAGGCCAGGGTGGTAATGTGCTCCCTTATCTCTGTGCCCCTCACTGGGGCCTAGTTAATTTTCCCTTTGATTTTAATATAGATTTATTGAAAGTTTCAGTTATCAAAACAAACTGCAGCAGCAAATTGGTGTTCTTTGCAGGCCTACAAGTGCCTATAAAGCTGCCATGCTCGGGAACGAATGGCGCTCTCCGGGAGGTCAGTCATGGCAACAGAAAGTCCCTGGGGACACACACACTGCAGTTTAATATTTTTCTTATTAGCCTTTTTTTTCTTGGCTATCTAAGCCTCCCCTTTACATCGGAAATCAAATGGCGCCAGCTGCCCGAGGAGGGTCTCTTCCCCAAGCTGCTCTGCTCTCCTCTACCTACTCCCTGTCTGCTCTCTAGTCCTCCCCTCCTTGTCTCAGATCTTCTGACCTCACCCTGCCTTGCCCACTGGCCCAGAGAGAATTCTGATCACGTGCCACACAGGTGTGGCTCTGAAATGTCATGATTCCCACAGCCCTGTCCTATCTGTACAAGGTCTGCCTGGGCTACTCAACCTCTAGTCAGAGGCCAGGCATTCCTAGAAAAGATTGTGACCCCAGGCTCCTTCCAGATCTGGTGCTTAGAAGAGAAAAAAATGCAAAGTTTCAAAGGAAAGACATTGCTTTCAAAACAATAAGCAGTCCTGCCAGGATCTATCAGACTCTAAAGAAACAAACAAGTGATAATGAACTTAGAGAGTGGGCCAGTTCTGCCAGCCCAAGAATTGTCAGATTTTATTCTCATATCTCCACTGCCATTCCCAGTATGACCTCTTCTCCCAATCCCAGCTTAATTTTTGAGACCCACCCCGCTATCCTCAATCTGTCTCTCTCAGGACCAGCCTGATTTCCTGCCTCCAGTGCCCAGTAGCTCCCATAGTAAGAACCATTCACTGATACCTCTAATCTCTAGAATCAGTTTTGTTCCAGGGGAAGGTTTCCCTGAGAGTTTCCATGGCTGGTCACCTTAACAGTACCATCTGCATTCTGGGATTGAGATGCTGCTGGGTCACCACACCACATCCAGTGTCCTCTCCTTGCTTTTAGACATTGCCCATCCTCAGAACTGTGACTACTATTACTAAGGGTCCTGACAACTTTAACTGTACAGCTACAGTGGCAAAAGGTACTGAGGTCTGAACCCAGACCATCCAAAACTTGAGTCTTGGCTTTGATGTTTACTGACCCTGTGCTGCAAGGAACCTCTTTGTGGTTTCATTGTACCTTGTGATTGCATTTATTCTTGTCTAAGAACCATTCTTTAATAAAATGATTGCCTCTGTCTCTCTCCTACAAAAGCATGAGATCCTCAAGGGAAAGGACCATGTCTTAATTGTCTTCATATTCTATGTGCATTTATTTGATGAACAAGTGAAGTCAACTCTGAGCCTTCTTCCTCAACTATGAAATGGAGGTAATACCTGCATCACCAATATAATGAAGAAAGCACCTCTTACAGTACCCACCCAGCGTAAGGGAAGTATTTAGTGAGTTGTGTCCTTCATCAGTTTCCCCTTGACTTTAGTCATGAGCCACCAGCACCCTTTACCGGATCCTGTCTCTGTTTCAAGTTACCTCCTGGGGCTTTCCCATCATTGATCAGTCTCCAGCTTT